GTAACTTAACTCCTACTACATCTAATTTACAGGGGGAAAGTGGGTTTGGTGAGATGAGCACACTAATAATAAACTAGTGGCAAAGGCAGATCTGACATCAGAGAACACTTTCCTGTGATCTCATAGAGCACTTACTACTTTGTAACTGTCACTTCTCCACTGTTTAGTAGCAAGCCATTCTGAAAGAGCAACTTACAGCAATAACTATTGCTAAATTTATTCAAGAATGTGGAGATTGACTAGGTATGAGTCTTCTCATGCAGTGGTATCAGGCAATGGCTGACCAAGACCATCCTGAAGCTTTTTTCTTTCAAATACATGGTAACTGGGCTGGAAGGCACTAAACAGCCAGGGGTGGGGAGATGGGGTCCTTGGGCATCTCTCCATTAAAAGTCTATTCAGGTGCTTTCCACATACAGCCTCATACAGCACTCAGACTTTTCACATAGTGCTCAGATGTTTCCAGAATGAGTTCCCCAACATATAATGGCAGAAGCTGCACTTTCTTACTGACTCTCAGAAATCAGTTAGCCTCCTTTCCACACTCTAGTCAAGAAGGTGGTGCCAAGACCCATTCAGTTTCAAGAAGCAGACTGCTTCATTTCTTGATGAAGTACTGTATAATTTTCAGATGTTTTAAAACTACCATCTCTACATTAGCTTCATTAATTGCCATCAGGTAGTTAACTATTACTATCCACATTTTATAGATGGGGAAGCTGAGGCAGAGTGTGGTTAAATCCTCCCAAGATGAACAACTAGTTTACAGTGTTAGGATTTGAGTCCAGATAGTGTGATCAGACTGTAAAGTTCATACTCTTAACCTCTGTACATACAATATGGGCACTGGCAATACTGAAGAGTATTTTACTATCAATTATAAATTATCAGGTTAAAAAATAGAAAAGCCAATATTTATATTTCTGCAAGAAAACCAAATCTAGCCAGGCTCCATTTTGCAGACTACACTATCTTTTACATAAACATTTAGTGGGCATCTGATCAGCTTTTACAAAGCACAGTTTCTAGTCTCAGAACTCCCAAGCTAGGAGCAGAAGACAAACATGTATACTAAGAAACTTGGGAGTGGATGATGCAGGCAGAAAGAAGAGAATCTCTCTGTAACTGCAGCTGTGAAGAGAACTAGTCAGTCACGGCAAATTTCTAAATCTGAGTATCAGCACAGGTTCTTTCAGGTGAAATGAAACTCTCTTGCTTAACAGTCAGCTGCAGAGTAGGTTACCTGTAGGCTCTGGCGGGGGCAAGGAGGATTCAGGAGGATGCAGGAGGATGCCATCTGCCATTCTCCTCTTGGGTCTCGCCCGCCAGTTCTGCTCTCCTGAAATTCCATCTGGAAGTAGAAGTTCAGAAAGAAAATGAGAACTACAACAATCCTTAGTCTGTAGTTGCAAAGACATCCTAAGTCATTTGGGGTTTTGCTTGTTTGTTTTTGCTTGTTTCTTTAAAGTGACAGGGAAGGCCCTCCCTGGTGGCACAGCGGGTTAAAGCACTTCACTAAGAAGCCAAAGCCACTTCGCATGAGTTCGATTCCCACCTGCCCCGGAGGTGACTACATGGCGTGGCAGACCTCTTCTGACCCGCCCGTTGCTCCCCTCAGCAGTGTTCTTCATCGATCTGCCTGTTCTGCTCCCCACTCTATCTCTGGTGAAGCTTCTCATTGCCCCTGAGTCTCTGGCCTGTACCCCAGTTCTGTATGTACAAATAAATCTTTTAAAAAAATAAAAAATAAAAAAAAATAAAGTGACAGGGAAGATGACATGTCAAATAATAGTAATTAAAATAATTTTGCTGCAGTTCTACCCAGTTGAGCTCTGGATTTCCTGCCGGGACACAGAGGGAAGAGACAGAATATGTCTTCCCACCTTTCCTGGTGGCTTAGGGGCTTAAAGCACAGCACTGTGAAGCTGGCAGGGGCCACTTTGGTGTGAGTTTGCTCCTGCCCTGGAGGTGATCCACATGGCGCAGCAAACCTCTCCAGTCTCGTCCACTACTCCCCTCAGCAGTGTACATCATCAATCTGCCTGTTCTGCACCCAGCTCTATCTCTGGTGAATCTTCTCACCACCCCTGTACCTCTAGCCTGTTTTCCAGTTATGTGTGCATAAATAAGTAAATCTTTAAAATAAAAAGAATGTCTTCCAAAGACAGAATGTCTTCCAAGAACCTCAACAAGTAACCCTAAACTCCCTTTTATACTTTGTTTTAAACTTAATCCTCTTTTTAGTCAAATTCTGGTAACAGTGATGATAATGCCATATGTTGACTCTGCAATACACTTGTTTCTATTATTACAATTGGTAATAATAAGGTATTAGCTAAATTGGGCTAGTACCTTAAGATGGTTTAACTTAGTGTTCTCTTTCCCAGAAATATTTCTTTTCTTTAGAAATATATTGAGTTAAATAGATGCCAAAGGACTCAATATGTAACTCAAATTTTAGAAACACATGGATAAGAGAAAATATGTTAGAACAGCAGAGTCTCCCGAAGCCCAGATGGCAGCATATGGTCAGGTCCTGTGCCTATTGGGAGGCCAACCAACCCTACAGTGATCTTAGCCACTTCCAAATTACTCTGCCTTAAAAAGAACCATCTCAACTAGTGTCTGATTCAGTGTCCTTGAAGATGTAAGCGATTGAGACACAATTTATAAAATATGGAAGTAAATGAGATCACTGAAAAAGCCAATTTTGTTAAAGAATGAATGAGGTCAAAAGCCATTAAAAGGATGAGATTCAAGGCCCTCCCTGGTGGCGCAGCGGGTTAAAGCACAGCACTGAGAATCTAAAGCCGCTTCCGCATGAGTTCGATTCCCGCCTGCCCCGGAGGTGACCACATGGCGTGGCAGACCTCTCCTGACCCGCCCGCTGCTCCCCTCAGCAGTGTACTTCGTCGATCTGCCTGTTCTGTTCCCCTCTCTGTCTCTGGTGAAGCTTCTCGCCGCCCCTGAGCCTCTGGCCTGTACCCCAGTTCTGTATGCACAAATAAATAAATCTTTAAAAAAAAAAAAAAAGATGAGATTCAAAACATCTCTGTCATGGATCGTGACTAATAAAGCAGGACAATGAATAATAAAGACAGATGATGGCCATGAAAACTGGCAACTGCCTTAGCCATTTTGGAGGGTCCATCTGAACACTTCCCAGTCATTAGAGAACAGAGTTGATGAAGTAATTGGGGAAGTCTTTGGAGGGCCACCAAAAAGGTCAAGTGAGAGAGTCATTTGACAATTTTCTATATCAACATTTTTAATTACTAGCAGTAGCCATATAAAACATGACAGTGTTCCTAACAGCCAGGGAAATCATGTAAATAAGGGCCTAAGTCAAATGTGGACTAGCTGAGCATGAACAAAATCACCAACATTTTTTAAAAGTTACTTTCTATATCAATAATCTGAGAAGTAGTTCATGGAATAATTTTACATATTATGAAGTTAATTAGATGAAAATCAGAGACTGCCATAAATCATGTAACTATAAGGTCAAAGTGCTGCAAATTTAACATAGTGGGGGAAATTAATTTTAATCATAAATGGATCATTGACATTCACAAGTTCCCAAATATGATATTTAATATACTCAAGTTATACCAACAATTACTGCCAACCATTACTTTAATTTCTAACAGATTGCTTCTGTGTAAAAGGCAGAAAATTATAGCGAACCATCATCTCTTATTAACTCAAAAGACTGCTATGACTTAAATAATGAAACCTGTTATTAATTTTGATTCAAGTAAAATCAAATCTCATCAGTGACAATTCTATAAAGTTAGTTATACACCTTTTAAGTAACACAGCTGTATTTTAAAGTTGTTGCTCCACGCATTTCCATCGTTCTATAATACAAACATTGAGGAAAGTTTTCTGACATTTAAATTTGTAAAATATCATGATTGTTGCCATAAATTTAGGATAGATGTTTGTGAAAATAAATCTTTCTTAGATTTCACAGGTATTTCTAAAAAATATCACTGTGAAGCCAGGGTGTGCTATGGTTTAAATAGTTAGCTATAAAGAAGAGATGTCCTCTTGGGAGTTTCAGTCTGTGAAACTGGACACTGCTTCCCTCCATTCCTCTAGGAAATCCCAGAGAAAAACTCAGACCATCACAGCAAAAAGTCCTGGAACTACCCATAGTTTTCACTTGTGTTCCAAGAGCAATGAGTCCATCACTCTAAATCACTCATTCACTTCACAAAGATCTGAGATGCAAGGAAGATTTCAGTGACCACTATCAAACTCCACTCTCTCTGACTTGCATCTCTATGAATTTGAGTCTTTTCTGCTACTTACTATGAATATGGTACTACTGACCCCTCCCAATCAAGGACTGAGTCACAATCTGCTACTTCAGCACACAACTGTCACATAAAGAGAACTAGGCTTGTGTCGTGTCTCCTTTCCCACCTCATGTTCCTTATATAAGACTCTTACCCACTGAATATGCTGAGGCACCAGTGATGTGATTTTGCAAGACTAGGGCATTTAATCCATACAAAAGACAACTAAATAAATGCATTTTTTATCTTAAACCCAACCATAACACAAATTTAAAATAACTGTACTGTCCATATTTAGTGAGTTTTCATTAAGAGGTGGCCTGCTTTTCTCAGTAACTATCCGTACCTTCCCAAGCTCAATTTTAATTCATTTAATTTCTCATTTAATACAAGCTGAGAGAAGGGAAACTTTTGATTTATATCAACATTATACAGTTTGAACAGAAAGAAAAGCAATTTGGTGAAGATGCGTCTCTTCTCATAACCCATAGTTCATTTTATTCCAAAAAACAAAACTCTCCCTATACCATTTTAGGCAACAACGATGCCTTTTCAGAATTCAAACAGAAGGAATTATATTTCTTTCCTCAAAAGCTAAGAGAAACAATTCTACCTATACAATACCACCCTGAGGCCCAGGCTCACAAAGCCCCAGCTCTGGGCACCATAGAACGGGCTGTACTAACCTTCTTCTAGCTGGGAACGACCGGCACCCGGATAGACTAGAGGAACGTGCGTACCCAAGGAACCACACCTCGTCCTTACAGGGCTCACACTGCTACTTGAGATGCCAGAATTCCAGCCCTAGCACAGGCCTCCTCTCTAGGCAGCCCACATTTGATTGGGCCAGGGAGCAGGTGTTTGTGGAGAACGCCGGCAGAGTTCAGTCAGCAAGCCTGCACGTGCGCATGCGCGAGATCACAGCATGGCCCCAGGTGAGGCTGTCAAGAGTTCAGAGGAATCTAAAAATGTTAAACTTAAACCTGGATTTTTGGTTTGTTGTTGTGAAGGTATGTTTATCAAGTTGTGAATATAGAGTGTCTTTTACTTCTTTAACAGCTTGATTTCAAATTTTCAAGGGTTCACACATGCACTGGTGAGCCTTCATTTCTACTCTTGCAACTGGGTCTGCCGTTTTAGTTCTTGTCTGTTTTTTAAAGGTACTAAAATAAATCAGGAAAGTTCTTTCTTTTCTCCACCACTGAAAAGTAATCCACAGCGTCATCCAAAAAGGTTTAACTACCATAGAAAATTGCATCCAGGCTTATCAATATGGTGATTTTTAAAAATCTGCTGGTTCTCTCAATTACAAAATCAAATCTAAGAAAACTGTACACGTAAATTAAAACTAAGATGACGTGGGGGAACTAACAACCATACTAGAAATGATTATGAGAATACTTGGAGCAGGATGGCTGGAGAATTCCTTTAAGTCTACCTCAAATTTAGGGAGCCAAAGGAGAGAAAAGTTGAAGTGGAAGCAACTTTGGACAGAGAAAGCTAGAGATAAGCTTCGATTCTACTCATAGATTCAGAACAGTGTAGAGCATTAATAAAGGCATAAAAGAATAAGTAAAATCTTAGTCCATGCTCTTGAAATGGCTTGTTATCATCTTTGTCTGAAAAGGAATGTCGATGTATAAAATCTACAAGATCACCATAAAAAGCAGCTGAGCTATGTGTGAGAATATGTATAACCAGATATTAAGATATCATACAAGTCCATATACATTATGAATAATAGCATATAAAAAGATAAACAGAATAGAGTAGAAATTCAGGCTTTTGTGACAAATTAAAACATCATAGTGGTAGCCCTCCCTGGTGGCGCAGCCGGTTAAAGCCCTGCACTAAGAAGCTTAAGCCACTTCAGCATGAGTTGGATCGCTGCCCCGGAGGAGATCCACATGGCGCTGCAGACCTCTCCTGACCCACCCGCTGCTCCCCTCAGCAGTGTACTTCTGTCGATCTGCCTGTTCTGCTACACACTCTGTCCCTGGTGAATTCTCTCACCCTCTGCATCTCTGGTCTGTACCCCAGTTCTGTATAAATAAATAAATAAATCTTAAAAAAAAAAAAAACATCATAGTGGCATCTTTGAAATTCAGTGTGGAAATGTGCAGATTATTTTGGTAGATGGTGTACAGTTTTCTACAAGGTCTAGAAAAATTAAATTAGAACACCATGAAGCAGCACACACAGCATGTAGACAGAATGAAGCATTTTTGTGTGGTTAATAGGAAAAAATATAAGCAAATATATTTATACTGTGGGGGGCAGGAAAAATGCAGGCAAATATATTTATACCTTGGAGGCAGGAATGGTCTCTTTGACAAGAATTCCAAGAGGCCAACTCATAAAGCAAAATACTGCTGAATTTTTTTTAAAGATTTATTTATTCATACAGAACTGGGGTACAGGCCAGAGATGTGGAGGGTGGGAGGATTCACCAGAGACAGAGTGGGGTACAGAACAGGTAGATCGACGAAGTACACTGCTGAGGGGAGCAGCAGGCGGGTCAGGAGTGGTCCACGCCCTGTGGATCTCCTCCAGGGCAGGCGGGGATGGAACTCATGCGGAAGTGGCTTAAGCTTCTTTGTGCTGTGCTTTAACCCGCTGCGCCACCAGGGAGGGCCAATACTGCTGAATTTTATTACATCAAAGGTAAGGAGGTCTGTTTGACAAAGGGCACCATGGATAAAGTGTATAGATATGGGTGATAAAGAACCCATGTGAAATTCTGAAACTGACAAAGCATTGAAATTTAGAAACATTTTCATAAAGAGAAAATTAAAATGCATCAATCAAAGTAAACAGATAAAGCACAGAGGACTTTTGGGTGGTGAAACCACTCATGATACTGTAATGGTGGGTAAGTGACATTATGCATTTGTCAAAACCCACATATAGGCCAACACAAACAGAGAGCCTAACTTAATGTATGCAGTCTTGAAAAAAATGTCACATAGGGTGTGAAAGATCCCAGGAAAGAGTACAGACTATGACCATCGTGTCTAACTGTATTATAAATGTGTGAAATAACTTCATTGAGAGGGTGGAGGTAAAGCTGGCGACCTACACACGTTTAGAAACAAATGCAGTCTATAAAACTGAAGACAAAAGAATTGCACAGAAGCACTGTACTCATCAATAAAGTCATTTCCATGGGGATACTTGTTAAAAATTCAAATACCTCTGCACATGCACATTGGGAATGAACAATTAAGTGAGTGGATGAAGTATCATGAAAGTCGGTTTCTCACTGTTGGAGCAGGAATTTGCAAATAAGTTCCAGGAGGGGAGATTTGATTTCTGTGGCGTTTTCTCCTAAAACATCCATAAACTCAGTTTATTCATGAGAAATATTAGACAAATCCTAATAGGCATATCCTAAAAATTTATCACCAGTACTCATCAAAACTTTGATGAACTCATCAAAAATAAGAAAAATCTGAGAAACTTTTACAGTTAGGAGGAGCCCAAGGAGACATGAAAACTAAATACAATGTGGTCTTCTCAGTGAGATGCTGGAACAGGGAAAGTATATCAGGTAAAGACTAAGGAAATCTAAATAAATATGACTCGTTTATTGAAATAAGTATAGCATACTAATGGAAGGCAGAAAAAGGTATATGAGAGTGGGAAAGAATATGGGAACTGCACTATCTGCTCAATTTTTTTTCTCTAAATCTCAAATTATTTCTAAAAATAAAATCTATTCTTAAATAAACTAATAAAAATATAGTTTAGAGATGTGAAAATCCAAAAGACTCATAAAGCATACAAAGAGCTAAACATGTTAGCTATCAGAGAAACGCTAATTAAGACAATAAGAAGATAGCATTTTACCTCTGTGACACTGGATGAACTTAGAAAGTGGACAAAGTCAAGTGTTGATGGAGACTGGAGATAAAGGAGCCACAGATAATGCTGATTGGAGTACAGCCTGTTGTCTGTTCCAGAGAGGACTCTAGAGGTCCTTTGTCAGTTACATATAAGAACACTCTGACTCCACATTCTATACCTGGAGACATGATACATACATATATACATAGACATGGAGATAAGATTAGTTAGAGAGAGAGTCAGCCTAGGTGAGCCAAAGATGGTCACATACATTAACGGAAGAGTAAAACACATCTTTAGCTAAACTTCCATACTCGAGATCCAACAAGAAGGAAACAATATTCTGATTCAAATATGGAAATGGGGTGTGAAATCTCAAAAAGATCTACCAGAACATTAGCATGTTATCGTTACACATAAGGTACTGGCCAGATCCACTGTCCATGGCTTTTCCTAAGCCCTCTCCGGTGGTTTGTGACAGTAACTAAGATAAGTAAAGAGGATATTATGTGGTATTCCCAGGAGTTTCCAATGGAAACTCCCCAGACTCCAAAACTCTCGTGTTCTTGGCCCAAGCCCAACCTGCCATAAAGACATCACTCTCAGTGACAGTTCAGCCTGCAGACTCTCCTGCCCAGGGACCTCCAGTAAGCAGGAACTTAGTATTATCTGTATTCATTGAAGAGTTACCTTTATCATTTACTCTGGTTACGATTCTCACTATGGAGGAGGAAAAGAGGTAATGATCCCTCTACTCTCCCTCCAACTTTAGGTTTATTTGGGTCCTGCTTTGTTAGCACAGCTCCCTGTGGAGTCAGATTCAATACAACCAGGGGAGACCCTTCTCTTCCCAAGACACTGAACAACTATTCTCCAAGGAACAAAGATCATTTGTAATGGCTGGAACAGAGATTCGAGAGAGAGATGTTATCTGCCCCATAGGTCCAGTGACCTAAGTCTACATACATATCACTTCAGGGTCTCTAACTACAGCCACTGATAATAATTAATAGTTTAAAAGCATCTCTGTATGCCAAACATGTTCAAAATGCTGCAATATTTCAAAGTCATACACACACAAAGAAAATCCTTTATGAAAGAGCTATAATGATGCCAATTTTATAGACCAGGAAACAACATATGAAGCTGGGACTCAAAAATTGGCAATCTGACCTCAGAGCTGTGCATTCAACTGGCTCACCTAGGTTGTGTCTACCCATTGAACATGGTGACTAAAGAAGGTACTATAGCCTTGAGAGTGTCTCTGAATTGTTGCCAAAACTATATGAACTTTCATGGTTTGGTCAGAAAGTTTTTCTTCATAGATATTCTAATTGCCAGGTTCATGTCATATACTTTTATTTTCCTAGGTTTAAAATTAATTTTTCTTTTTCCTTCTTTCATGGTGTTAGTATAAAATTACTAATAAATATGGTAGACTTTTTAAAAGTTATGCAACATCCTACAAAATTGAAGACAGTAACATAATAAGATACTTCATGATGGCTCCCACCTATTAAGAAGGCTTGGAGGAACATATCTACAACAAGCAGGAGAGAGTATTAGAACAAGGTCTCCCAGATGGTGAACATCACTCAAAAAGACATAAAGTGATTTTTTTTTCTGTCTCAGCTCTCCTGGTTTCTATTTTAAAAACATTAGTATTTTAATTCTGTTGCATTCTTGTTCCTGTCCACTAAAATACCCTACATGAAGGGAAAAATCCCAGGGTGGTATCAGAGCAATTAAGCACTATCATATGAAGGCTTGCTCATGGCATACCTATATTTAGGTTTTTTTTTTTTTTTTCATTTTATTTTCCTCCAGTATTTGTTATTTTTTTAAATATTTATTTATTTATTCATACAGAACTGGGATTCAAGCCAGAGGTGAAGGGGTAGTGAGAAGATTCACCAGAGACAGAGTGGGAGCAGAAAAGGCAGATCAATGAAGTACACTGCTGATGGGAGCAGCGGGCAGGTCAGGAGAGGTCTGTAGCGCCATATGGAGCACCTTTGGGGCCAGGGATCAAACTAGCACTGAAGCAGTTGCAGCTCACTTGCAGTTCTGGGTCCCAATCTGCTGCACCACCAGGGAAGGCCCTGTTATTGAAGTACCATTATTTTACATCCTTGCTAGTGTGTTAACAACTTAGCACTCCCCACACCCCCGGTGTAGTCACGTAGCAGTCACTCTGATGAAGTACCCATAGTCCTCCACCATAGTCCATTGTACTATGCTTACCCTTCATGCTCCACCCCCACTTCTGAAGGCCAAGGAGCTATAGTCAGTTTTCAAGTGTTGCTTTTGGTATCTATCAAATAAAATACAAAACACTGATTCAAAAGGAAACTTGCACTCCCATGTTTAAAGGAACAACTTCTGATATCTGCAAACTATGGAAACAATGTAAGTGCTCCCAAACAGGTGAAAGGATCAAGAAGATATGAAATACTACAGGATAGAATACTATTTAGCAATCAAAAAGAAAAACTCATTTGTAATGACATAGATGGAACTGGAAAAGATTATACAAAGTGAAATAAACCAGAGGAGAAAGATAAATGTTAGATGGTGTCACACTATGCAAATATATTTTTAAAAAAAAGACAAAGATAAACTTTAAAATCCCCTGCTATCAATGAAAAGAACACCACCAAATAAGCTACTCTAACTCCACCAGGTAGCCAGCGCATGATTTTAGGTAAAAGAATATAATAGAGAAGGCCCAAGCACAGGTTATTATTTTTTTTCGTATACCAATGAAATAAACCATTTCTAATGGAATATTTGGAATTTTTGTGATAGCATATTTTGTATGCTACTTGATAGGAAAAATAAATTATCAAAAGCAAAATTAAAAATATTTGTCAACTCTTCTTTAAAACTTCCTAGAAATCTTTTTAGTGGTATATCATGACATAAAAACATTTTATATAATATTTACTATATACTCTATTTACTCTATTAATCTTTTTTAATTTTAACTTAAAAAAAAATACTAACCAGTAGTCTCCTGCCATCTAGTCTACATGTAGACTGTCAAGAATTATTAAGAGCTAAAAATAGAAATTTATTGTAGCATTTGCTAGGAAAAAAATCATAGGTATTACATAGTCATAAATTATATGTAGAAATGTATTTACACCGGTTTTCCCTTCCAACATAATTAAGAATTGGCTGTCAAATTAGAAAGTTGAGTGATATTAAATGCAATGAAATCCTTCAGGGAAAATTTGAAAATTGTTTTTGAATTCTGTAAATTGAAAAGCACCATTTCTTTCTCATCGGTGGAAAGGGATTGCTAAACTAGAACTGAAGAGATCAGTTTTCCTGCTTTGCCATCACCATTTTATGTGACCGTGGAGATGCTGTACAATCTCTTCTCATTACCATCTATTAAGTGCTGTCATCGGCTCTTTAGTCTCTACAATTCCTTATTCATCCTATATTCTTTGTGTGTTTGACACTAGTCTATGCCCACTACCTGAAATTTCTTTTAAAATGGCCATTGCTCCATTGATCCACTGGGTGGTAGCAGATTCCTGGTTATTATATATGAGTGGATGACCAACTCAACTTTCACAATGTTCTAAATTCTACTGTCAAAAAGTTAATGCAAGGACTTGACTTTACAGTGTCACCACACAGACAAAATGGGAGTCATGGAGCAAGCTGCAGGATGCAGAATGCAGAATGCTGCCGAAGAGCAAGATCCTGGCATTTTAATTGACAGAATAATCATACAGCATCAGCTGTGAGGGGAAGACAAAAAAAGAGAGGTGAAACTAGCAATGTGCTCTGTCATCTACAGTACAGGGGTTGTGAGTCTGCCTGCAGGCACTTCTTGTGTGCTTGCAGACTCAGTATTGTAATTGAGATCATTTCCTAGAATCCCAGCTATGGTTTCAATGTTATCAACAAGGCGTTCCAGTACTGATCTGAGGTACCTTGTCATATATCAGTTGGCCCCAGGGTGTTCCCAGTCATACCTTGTGAGTGATGTATAAGTCAGGAGTACTTTACTCATCAGTTATCATCTGACCACCTTTTCTCTCCTGTTACTTGAAGGCATGTGCAAGTGTTTTCCACCTGATTTCGAATGAAGTTCAGAGTCTGCCCCAAACAGCATATAGGTCCATACCTCAGAGAACCTTTTCCAGTCAAAATTGCTACAGAAAGGCCCTCCCTGGTAGCCCAGCATGTTAAAGCACAGCACTAAGAAGCTAAAGTCTCTTCATGAGCCCAGCATGTTAAAGCACAGCACTAAGAAGCTAAAGTCTCTTCATGAGTTCGATCCCCAGCCCAGGAGGTGACCCACAGGGCTCAACAGACCTCTCCTGACACGCCCGCTGCCCCCCTCAGCAGTGTACTTCATCAATCTGCCTGTCCTGCTCCCCACTCTGTCTCTGGTGAAGCCTCTCACCACCTGTACACCTCTGGTCTGTACCCCAGTTCTGTATGCATAAATAAATAAATCTTAAAAAAAAAAAAAAAGCTACAGAAAGCTCCAGGCTTTGGATCTGTATGATCCGAAGGATTCCAGGTGTTCTGCCTGAATTCATCCTCACCAGAATTCCTCCAGTGGCTCCCTGTTTGGAAATTACAGCTATGGTGTCTCAGAGTTCCCATAAAGACTGGGGAACCATCCTGAAGTCCTCTAGGCAAATATGCTGCCAATCTTAGCAAAAAATGATAAAGAAAAATAACTCTGATAGACATCTAAACTGGATTGCTGAAGCAAATATATAAGGCTCCCCCTTAAACTGTTTGGTCACACCTTCATCAATTATATATTTGGAAATAAAAATGCTATGCTACATATTGTCTGACAGAGTCACCATATTCTCTTAGGTATTAGTTTAAAACCTAGAAATGAGGAAGCCAGAGGCATCAAGTCACTGAAACAAATAAAATTACTAAGAGTCAAGCTGTGTCTTAGACCTCATTAGCAATTATCATTTTGAAAATATTTGCTATTATAACCTAGAAGAATTAATGCGCTGAGTGGGAAAAAAAAATGGCTATAATAGTTACTCTTAGGAACCACCCATTACTCACTCCACCTCTTTTTCTAAGAACTAAATTGCAACAAATATGTTTTCCTCTTCTTTTTTAACTGTTTAGTATTTAGCTTACTTAACAGTACTAAAATGCATGCTGATAACTTGTCCTGTGGAACAAGGTAAGTCCAGTCCAGATACCAGTGCTGACAGGGAGTGGTGAATCAGAGAACACACCCCAGCCGGAAGCAGATAAGGTACAGGACATAAGCCCGGCCACTCAGGACCAGAGCAGGCAATGAGCTGGTCTAGAAATAGCTTGAGTTCTTTATTTTTATTCCAACCCATAGCTACCTTATTTCTTTTTCTTTATTTTTAAGATTTATTTATTTATGCATACAGAACTGGGGTACAAGTCAGAGGTGCAAAGACAGTGAGAGAATTCACCAGAGATAGAGTGGGGAGAACATCTACACTGCTGAGGGGAGCAGCGGGTGAGACAAGCAAGGTCTGCCATGCCATGTGGATCACCTCTGGGGCCTGGGATTGAACTCCATATAGGTTTTGTGGACACCATCCTCACTCTAGACCAAAGCGTTGAAGGCATGAGCACAATACTTCCCACCATCACCAAAGGGAGAACTGCAGGGACCTGAGGGAGCAGTTAAGCAGCCAGGTTTGGTAGAAAACAGACGTGTGCCTTGGGGGCTCTCGTGCTCTCTTGGTTTCTGGGTCTCCTAGCCTCTTGGTTCTTGGCTTTTCATTGGGATCCCAGGTCAGCAGAACTGAGAGGACGAATTTACCAATTTATCTCCCTCTCTTTGACCCTGGGATATTCATCTCTGCATTCCCCCTCTATTGTAAATAAACCCTGTATTAACCTTGCTGTGTGTGCCTGCAGTTGAATATGATTATAGGTCACTTTATGTGCACCAGTGAGGATCCACAATCAGGCAACCCATTTCAAATCAGGGTTGCCCTATAACGATACAACTAAACTAAACCAAAAACAAAGCTTGTGACAGTTCCTGTTGAGTGACCAAAGGGCAGAGTCATAAACCCCTGACATGTGCCCTTCTCCTGACCTTTAAACAAACCACATGTAGCACTTATATGTGTGTACAAGGGAATTTAATCATCT